CTGATCCAGCGATTTCTAAAGTCTCAGCTGTTTAGAGACATGTAGATATTGACTGAGCAGTTCAGTTTGATTAATTTTGACTCCTGGTCTCAGTTTAGCAGAATTCAGATTTTTGATGTGTGGGCCTCAAAGTGAAATACGTAAGTTATTTTGTAGTATTTAGCACCCTTAAGTAAAAAAAACAAACAAACTTGCAGTCTTTTATGTTTTCAAAAAGTGCTCAAATGATTATTGTCGAAATCAGCTGCAAGGGATTGAAGGCCTTCAAAAAAGCCCAGACTTGTTGCAACTCATTTACTTTATACTTTAGATGGATTACTGCCTATAGAGCTCAGGTTGTGTTTGACAGAGGAGAGATTTAACAGCCTGCCTGAGGATACACACATCATTATTCACTTCATAACGTCTGAGCTGCAGTTAAGCAGTAATATGGAGAAACAAAGACAGACAGACACGTAAAACTTCCCTTCACTACAGCAGCTTTTGCGTTTGAGAGGAATGATGAGAGAGACTAGAGGCTCCATTTACAAGTGCTGTTATATGGACAATGTTGGTCGTTACTGTTATTTGTGGTATGATTAATTTTATTTTGTGAGAGCTTTAGTATACTATATTTGATGCGTAACATTGGATGAAATGTAATTGTGTGTTTTGTCCAATGTATTAAACATTCTGTCTCAGTCCTCTCATGCTTTTTGGTTTCTGTTAATATGAATCCAACAATGAATGCCTTCGCTCGTCTAAAACCCTTTTAATTAAACATAGACATTAACATTTCAGCGACAAGTAATTGAAGCAGTGTTATCTGAATACAAGCAACACTTTGGCATCTCCACCGGGGTTAGCGACGCCATGCGAAAGTTGTCACATTTCAAGGCAAACACACTGCCAACCTCCTGATTCAGAGTGTGATCTGTGCTCCTGTGGCCTTGCTGTGTGGCGATGAATACTGCATTTGAGGATGAAGACTAAATCGGATTAGTCTTTTGCCATGAGGGCCCCCGTCATACTGAATACCTTGCCTCAGGAGCTAGGCTAAGTTAATTCAGCATCGTCTTTTAGAACGGTCATGAGCAGGCTCATTTTTATTTAGCACATACGGTTTAACTCATGCACTGAACAAAAATATAAACACTTTTGTTTTTCCTCCCATTTTTAATGAGTTGAAATTAAAGATCTAATACTTTTTCTAGGCACTTATTTCTCTCACATTTTGTTCACAAATTTGTTGAAGTCCGTGTTAGTGAGCACTTTGCCAACATAATCCATCCACCTGACAGGTATGGTAAATCAAGATGCTGGCTTAACAGCATGATTACTGCACAGGTATGCCTCAGGCTGGTTGTCATAAAAAGCCAGATGTGTAAAATGTGCGGTTTTATCACACAACATAATGTCACAGATGTCACAAGTCTTGAGGGAGCTTGCTATTGGCATGCTGACTGCAGGAATGTCCATCAGAGCTGTTGCTCGTGAACTGAATGTTCATTTCACTACTATAAGCCGTCTCCAGTGGTGTCTCTGTGAATTTGGCAGTACATCCACCTGGCGTAGTGAGCCAGCCCTGGACCTCCACATCAGGCTGAGATGAGCTTCTCTGATACAGTTTCTGTGCAGGTATTCTTAAATTTTGCAATCAACTGTTGGATCAGCGGTCTGGGTGGCGGGTCTCGGACGATTTTGCAGGTGAAGAAACCCGATGGGGAGGTCCTGGACTGGTGTGGTTACATGTGGTTGAGGGTTGTAAGGATGGTTGGATGTACTGCCAAACTCACAGAAAGGACATTGGAGATGGCTTAATAATGGCTTAGTAAGTTTGGTGGACTCTCTTGTAGTCGGCATGCCAATGGCACCCCCCATCAAAACTTGGGACATCTGAGGCATTGTGTATGTTGAAGAAATTTTCAAAGCTGATGATTTAATAGATGAAAAAGACCTCAGGAGACTTCAATCGATCACTATCAGTATTTAATGAAGACTGGATCGAGGAGAATCACAGCTCAACATACAGAGTATCACACATGTATGCCGTCCAGAGATTCTGAGGGTGTCCTTTCCCAGTTCTTGCATTTAACCCAAACAGTATTTCCTTGTGAGTTACTCCACATTCCCAAATACGTTTCTATTGGTCACTAACTTTAAACAGCAAGCACGCTAACCTTGCTCACTCTAAACCACCTCGACTGTTTCTCACAAAATGAAAATATCTAAACAAAGACTCTCGTCTGTAGAGCCTGGAGCATAGGGCAACCCCCCTTCCCATTAGCCTTGGGAGCTATGGCAACGGAGCCAGCAGTAGTAATGGTTATGTTTAATCAGCAATGATGTGCCACACCTGTCAGGGGGGTGGATTATGGATTATGATGGCAAAGTGCTCACTAACACTGATTTTAACAAATTAATGAAAAATGGAGAGAACAAAGCCTTTTGTGTGCCAAGAAAAAGGATAAGATCTGTCATTTTAACTCGTGAAAAATAAAAGCATAACCAAGTGTTGCATTTATGTTTTTGTTAAGTGTTCTTTTTGTCAGTTTTTATTTGTGTATCTGTATTGTGCCTCTGTATCTGTCAATCACAGGGATGTTTTGAATGCCAGTCTTTGGCTCAGAGGAAGGCATTCAGCTTTTGGATTGCAGGAGGATACATATTTGTTATTACTTGGCCCAGAGGCAGTCTGCCCCAGAGGTGGGGGACAACACATGTACTGGAGCCTGGCTTTCTGTATTTTAGAAATAGGGTTGCTATGGCAACTGAAGGCTTGAAACTACCTCAGTACCACTGGCAATGAATTCAGTCAATTTTATAAAAATTTAAAGCATTCATTAAATCTGTTCGCCTGAGATTCCACAGCAGCATCACCTCCAGAGAGCACCAGTGTTTGGCTGGGTCATACTGGGGAGATTGGAGTGTAATCCAGCACAGACTCTTGGATGGCTTTGCATGTTTTTAAGTCTGTCTTTTTCAACATTCATATGCCAATATATAGATTTAGGCGTGCTTCTGGTTGCTGTGATTGCCATGAAGAGACCCCCTCAAGGTAAAGCCATGGAAACACAAAGAGGGAACCTCTTATGTTCAAATCACAACATGAAGGAAGTGAGTGTTGTATTAAAGGGATAGTTAAACATTTTGGGAAATTTGCTATCTGAAATCAATTCACTTTCTTAAAGAGAGTTTGTATCCAAAGGTCAGTTCCACTCTCATGTCTGTCTGTTGTATAAAAGAAGTGCTCAAAGTTGAGGGGGAAAAGTGCCGATACTCCTTTCATTCACATGTTGGCATGTGTATTGGTGAGTGATGGGAGATGGGGCAGTCGTATTCTGACTCAGTCCATGCCCTCTTTGCGAGAATGGAAACAGGTGAGCATCACATAGTGCCACTTGTTAGCTTACATAGTGCCCCCAGTGCCCTCTGGGTGATGCAGTTTATTGAAGGCCATTGTGAATCACCTAGAGAATCTAAAAAGGAGAGGGCAGGGAAGAGTACCGGCAGCTTGTGAGAAATGCCGGTGCACTAGAGACAGACTCGGTACAGTACAAAGAAAATTGTCCAAGTGCTGGTAGTGCGTACCGCCGAGTACATGCCCACAGCATTTTAGAAAAGGCTGCAGCCAGCAGCTGGTTTGCTTAGCTTCACAAAAAGACTGAAAGCAAGGGGGGAAAGCTAGTCTGGCTCTGATCAAAGGTAACAAAATCCATCTACCAACATCTCTAAAGCTCACTAATGAGCACTTTATATTTTTTTGTTTATCCTGGAAGTCACTGCTCCCGGCCAAGACACAATTATAAAGATAGTCTTGAGCCTGCTCTTTGTTTAGCCAGGAGTAAAATGGCCAGGTCTACCTTGCAAAACAGGTTTCCAACCTCAATGTAACGGACCTTAACAAAGGCTACATAAGGAAAAATATAGAACAGTTGTCCTTATAGAGCCAACATAGCAATAAAAAAAAAAAAACAACCAACAGTCACTCACTCTACAGCAGGAAACAGCACTTCAAAATAAAAGCTCTGTGCCAGAAATTGACTGTGCTTCAAAATAAAGTGTATTTTTAACACATCTGAAACATTGAGGTCTACTCAGAATGGACCCTTGACCCACTTTTGGACTGCGACCCACCAGTTGGGAACCACTGCACTGTAATTTTAGCACAGGCCTTCTGCTCTTATCATTAAATATTTGATATAAACTGGTATCAAAACAGACATTTACTTCAGAGTGTTTGATAAATCAAGTTTACTATGATCACCATCACTGTTGTTATTACATAAGGAGCTTCTCCACCTCCTCATCCTCCTCCTCCTCCTCTTTCATGGCAGTGTGTGGGCTCTTAAATGGGATGTGAATAAGTTAATGTATGAAGGCCGGTGTTGGAGCAACAGCGGCGCAGTGGCTCAGCTCACCTGTCAGCCGGAGATGGCGCTCTGCAGAAGAGGCTGTGACAGCAGGTGTCCTCCATACAGCACAGTGTGTGTCACAGCTGTCAGTCTCCTGACAGAGACCTGTCCACGCTGTCCAGCCTGGTTAGGCAGACAGGCCGAGAAACACACACACACACACACAGAACAACTTAGCCATATTTTCATGAGCACACATGCACACAGATGTGAATAACACCGCGTCAAGGTTAGTTAGAGCTGATGACAATTGATTAGCAGGCTGGCAGGAGTCTGACTGTTTAGGATATGAACTGGTTTCACCCCCGCACTTTCTCTCCATGTCTCTCACCCCTCTCTCTTCCACCAACCCTCCCATACCTGTCAGGCATTCCCAGAATCTGTCCCGCTGTCAGCATCCATTACATCATTACATTCATAACCTGGAGTGCTTGTTGCCTTTTGTGTGTTTAACGGAAACAGAGAATTGTATTTTAATTGCTCTCACGCTGTACATAATATCTTTACATGATTTTCTATTGCCCATTTTTTACTGTAATTGTGTGTTATATAAGCTTGTAAATGCTCTTTTTGTGTGTCTTGTTTCTGTGTGTGTGTATGCTGCAGGTGGCCGAGATGCACGGTGAATTGATAGAGTTTAATGAGCGCCTGTATCGTTCCCTCATGGCCAAAGACCACCTCATTGTCCAGATGAGACAGGAGCTCATTGACCTGAGAGGCCCGGTAAGTGACTGGACAGACACACACACACACACACACACACACACACACACACACACACACTGATGTCCCTTCTCATCTTATTTCTCTGTAGGTTTTCTTTTCCCCCCCAGCCTCCTGTCTCTGTCACCCTGCCATTTTCTCGGCTCTCCTCCTAGTGATTTTGTTTGATTTTCATCTCCACTTCCCCCCTGTTTGTTTTGCAGGGGTCCTCTGCTCATTTTTCTCCACGGTCAATGTCTGCCAATAACGCTTAACTGCATTTTCCTTGAAGTTGTCTCCTGCAAGATTCCTCTGTTTTCATTTTTCGGCGGTGCTTCTTGCACCGCTGTTCCCGTAGATAATCTGTCAAACAGTGTGTGCTCACATCTTTCTACTTTTCTGTTGATGAGGTTTGATTTTCTGTAGGTGGTGCTCTTTTGGTGCCTGTTCAACACTGGTGTCCATCACTCCTAACACTAACTATCCAAAGTGTAGTTCAAACTAAGTACTTTTTCTCAGCACTTTCAAAGTGGTCCTCTACAAGAGCAACAAACACACACACACACACAGAATGCCAACATATGGTCATGCTCAGGAGAGCTTGAAGCAGTATGGACACACAAACAGTGTGGGTTGATACAGCGGCAGTGATGGGAGCCCCAGGCTGAAGATAGAACCTCTTATCCCCAGCTTCAGCCCTGCTCTGCTGGACCACTCACTCTGTGTGTGTGAGTGTGAGTGTGTCCATCTCTGGCACCTGATTGCTGCATTCTTCCAGCTTTCAATAGCTGCTGCAGATGACTGAACCCTGATCACTTTCTCTCTACCTCTCTACCGTCTCTCACTCTTCCTCCCAATCCTCTATTACTTTCACAGTGTGTGTGTGTGTGTGTGTGTGTGTGTGTCTGTGCGTCTCTGTGTGTGCCACTCTTGGAGAGTTTGATCAAAGCTTGCGGGCTGGAGACCCCACTGAAGAGGGCTGCGGTGACAGTGTTTCAGCCCAGGTTTAAATAGTCTCTCTGGGAGAGCTGAGAAGCTGACAGGCCAGCTCTGGACGAGAGATGGAGTAGAGACGGACACACACACACGCTCTCTTTTTCACACACAGACACACTCTCATCCAGAAGGCCAACATCTGGGCCTGGTCATGTGGTTCCTCAAGGGACCTGGAAGCATGCAGAGTGAAACAAATCACAGGGTTGATGAACTCTCACACACAAACATTTGCATAAAGGGTGTCATATTAGGTAACCACTGCTAACTGAGGATAGTCATCAGCAAAAATAGCGTTGGACACAAAACACATACGTGCATGAAGAGGCATTCCAGCTGTGTGCTTCAGATGAGTAAACAGGGTACTGTGTATTGCGGCGGTTCTCAGAGCCCTGTCAGATGAACTCAAGTAGCCCTTGATCAACACCACCAGTCATGTTCCAAATTTGTCCGTTTCAAATAGTGGTGGTTTTTTCATGCAAGTGAACTGTGAATGTTTAGGTTGGTATGGTTTAGTTTGTACTTCAACCACATGGAGTTACAGGAACTGGATGTTTTAATCTTTTCCCTAGGTATTAAGCTATGAGCTTTAGCTATTCTAACCGTAAAGTTTACTATTTAAATTGGTAATAGATTACTTTCAGATACAGTAACAATTTCAACCATTCATTACTTTAAGCTAACTGTTTAAACCTTTTTTCCACCGTACATTTAGCTAACTTTTTAGCATTTTAACTATTAGGTATTTATGATTTTCAATTACGTTAGCTACTGCACCTATTCAATTGTTTTTCTAGTGTATTCAGTCACAGTTTATGAATTACTATTAGCTAACCTATTTAATCAGTAACCATTACTTTTAATTAACTATTTTAACTGATTATTCATAACTTTTAGCCAGCTATTTCAGCTGTTCATTACTTTTAGCAAAGAACCGATAATGGCATTGTATTGTTATTTTATTATTATTGATTTCGCTAATTGTTTCAATTGATTATTACTTTTCGCTATTTTACTTGTTTATTTATTACTTTTAGTGAACTATATCAACTGTACATTATGTTTCGCTGTTTCAGTTGTTAATTCATTACTTTAAGCTAACTATTTCAAATGGTTTTTTTTCACTTTAGCTAACTCTTTTAGATGTCTGTTGATTACTTGTAGCTATTTCCATTGTTTATTACTTTTTGCTAACTGTGTCAACTGTTTGTTCTTCAGTTTTAGCAAAGAGCTTACATGATATTGTATTGTTATTGTGTTATTTAACTATTTCAACTGATTATCTATCATTTTTAGCTGTTTTAACTGTATTCATTTCTTTCAGCTATTTTAATTGTTTATTTATAACTTTTAGCTAACTATTTTAATTGTTTATTTATTACTTTTAGTTAACTATTTTAACTGTTTATTTATTACTTTTAGCTAACTATTTTGTTGTTTATTTATTACTTTTAGTTAACTATTTTAATTGTTTATTTAGATCTTTTAGCTAACTATTTTAGTTCTTTATTTATTACTTTCAGCTAACTTTTTTAATTGTTTGTTTATAACTTTTAGCTAACTATTTTAATTGTTTATTACTTTTAGTTAACTATTTTAATTGTTTATTTAGATCTTTTAGCTAACTATTTTAGTTGTTTATTTATTACTTTCAGCTAACTTTTTTAATTGTTTATTTATAATTGATAGCTAACTATTTTAATTGTTATTTATTACTTTTACTTGACTATTTTAATTGTTTATTTATTACTTTTAGCTAACTATTTTAATTGTTAATTATTACTTTTAGCTAACTGTTTTGTTTGTTTATTTATAACTTTTAGTTAACTATTTTGATTGTTTATTTTCTACTTTTCATTAACTATTTTAATTGTTTATTTATTACTTTTAGCTAGCTGTTTTAATTGTTAATTATTACTTTTAGCTAACTATTTTAATTGTTTATTTATAACTTTTAGCTAACTGTTTTAATGATATATTTATAACGTTTCGCTAACTATTTTAATTGTCAATTATTACTTTAAACTAATTGTTTTAATTGTTTATTTATTACTTTTATTTAACTATTTCAACTGTTTATTCCACATTTTTTTCTATTTCAAGATGTTTTTCACCTTAAGCTAACTATTCCAACTGTTCTTTCATTACTTGTAGCTAACTATTTCCATTGTTTATTACTTTTTGCTATGTAATCAGTTCATTACTTTTAGCGAAGAGCTTTCAATGATATTGTATTGTTATTGTATTATTATTATTATTGATTTAGCAAACTATTTTAACTAATTATTCATAACTTTTAGCTAACTATTTCAACTGTTTATTCATGACTGTTTATTTTAGCTATCTACTCTATTTTCAATCATTATTTTGTTAACATTATTTTTAGCTAACTATTACAACTTCTCTGTTTGTTTGCTGGGTTTCGTGTGTTTTCAGTCACTGTGTTCATGTGTTACTGACTCACCTCAGAAGGAGACTTGTACTGCGTGGTTGACCTATGACTGCGTGTTCTTTACTGGTTTATTGTGACAATACATTTACTCAAGTCTTTTTACGTAGTCTCTGGAAACTGTCACAGTACCCTTTGGTTTGGAATAACTTGCATGTTGGACACCATGTGTATGTGTCTGTATAAATGCTATATTTGTACATTAGTTTGTATTGCATTGTAATAAATTTCTTTCATTTGTTTTTGTCTTGCTTGTTATCAATCTCCCACTCTCTAATCTACTCCAGGTTCCAGGTGATTTAAGCCAGACGTCGGATGACCCCAGCCTGTCAGATTTTGAGACGTAAGAATATTTCTCTTTTATTAAACCTCTGTTACTCTCTTCCCCTCACCCTCTTTCTCTCACTTCTCTTCCGACCTTCCCTCTTTTTATATTAATCAACTCTTACCTCTGGAGTTTCTCTGGGTTTGTACCTTGCAAGAGCTACTCAAATAAAATATCTGTTCTCCCAGTGTAATTGTATCTATAAGATCTCAAGTTTACCTGTGAACAAAGCTTGAACACTGTTTGATTTCATACATTCATTGATTGCCTCCACTCTCAGATCAAGACCAAATTAGATTTGGAGGAGTTTTACCAGAGTGAGCTGTAATTTGCTGTAGTTGTCCAAGCATTGCGCTGACGCACTGTTGATGTTGCTGTGATAATGATAATGATGATGATGATAATGGCGATGACAGTGAGGATGGTTTGTTGTTTGTGTCACTCAGGGCTCATCGCGCTCTCATCAATGTGTGGATCCCCTCTGTGTTCCTGCAGGGCAGAGCTGCCAATGCCTACCATGTCTACCAGGTACGTTCAGCCTCTTTAATATCTATGTCCTCTGTTTACCAGGTAAAACTAGCAAGTCACTCACCATATGACAGTACTTGCTGTTGGAATATGTGGGAAACTTTACCCCCAGGACTATGAAGCTGATGAAAACAAAGTAGGTTTCTGTGATCAATTACTTTGAATTAAACCAAACAACAGTACAAGTTCATTAAGCCAAAGAGCGAGGCAACAAATGAGCAAGCTCTGAAATAATTAAACATTAAACCAAGTTTGCATTAATACCTCATTATCAGTGCTCATTAGGATTGTTGCACTCAGAGCCTTTTCCCCTAGTCAACTCTGCTCAAGTGGTCAAACAAAGCATTTTGCTAGACAGGGACAAACATGATTGTAGCCATGCTAGCAGTGTGTCCTGCTTGTGAGTCCACCACTTTGGTCCACACTGAACTCAACAACTATTTGACGGATTGCCATGAAATTTGGTGCAGATATCTACGGTGCACACAGAATGATTGCAAGTAAATTTGGAGATCCCTGACTTTTCCTGTAGCACCACCAGGAGGTCAGAGTCATCACTTATCCAGTTTGCCATATTAGTGATGTAGGTGGTCCTCTGACTTTTCCTCTAGAGCCACCATTAGTTTGACATATGTTGTTTTGTGGAGTCAATTGTCTCAATTATTGAATTATTGGCTTTAGACTACTAATCTTGTTTTCTAAAGCCTGTCATGTGAATATGTGAACAGATCGTTGTTGGCTGAGAGTCCACGCAATGTCTTTTTTCAGTTGTTCCCAATGAGGACAAAGTGTATGCAGCCTCTTCGAGAAAAGGTTCTACGACCAGCGTCTTTGTCAGAGCGCTCCAACTTTTTTGTTTAGCTGCTCAGAGTGCTTGCAGTAAAAAATCTCTGACCTTTTTGGAAAGGCGCTGGTGTTGTCACTGCTGCACCTTTACTATCTATCCCGAGCTTTATGTCAGTCATAAACTACAGCAAAGACAGAAAAGCACATTTGTGGGTTCAGATCGGCTGGACACCAAATATTGCTGGTACCACACGCTTTGTAAGCTTGTTGTTGTCTGTGTAGTTAACCCTCTGTTGACGTAGCATTACCTTAGCCACCTAGCTAACGTTAATGTCAAGATAGTGTTGTCATAGCAACAAAACCCATGGTCAGCGCTACATCAAAGTAGTTCTCCAGCACTTTTCTGTTAGACAGAAAGGCTATATGGACGCAGGTCCTTAGGCTTAGAAATGGGTTGTCTAGAATCTGTATCATGACAAAACATTTCTAGACCCAAATCAAAATAGTGACTGCACTCCCCACTTCTAAGTTTGTAACCGAACTTAACTATATAGTTTAGAGAATGTTATAGAGGCGAGACTGAACAGACAGAAGGGCAGAACTCAAATTACAAATCCGTCTGCTGCTTCAGCACCATGGACAGCGCCAAGGATTTATCCCCACACAGCACAGTTAGACTGCTGATATTTCAGAGCCATGGTCAGAGCCATAGATTCAAACTTGCACAAACCTTGGTCAGATAAAGGATCAATAAGTCAGGCCAGCTAAACTAACTTATTCAACTAAGAAAACCCTCTGACCCCACACTCTCCAAACTACTATTGGATGGAGACAGATGGCCTTCATATTACCTACTGCTTGTGGTATTTACAGCAAAGATAATAGCACATTTCCACTTGTGCCAAGCACTTATCTAAGTAAGGTGTGTTGGGAACTGAACTCGAGAGCGGCTTAACAAACCGAATTGCTGCTTCTTTTTGTATTTGTCAAGTTATCGAGCAAAGTAGACAACGACGGCTCATTCCCTCGGTGACTGTTTTACTGTGTCTGTCACATTAACAAGGTGTTACACCTCAGCTCCCTCACCGCAGCCGTCCACCGGTTCCCCCCTCTGAGACAGAAGCACACACACACGCACACACACATGCACACTGAACGGTCCCCTGGTTCAGCTTTGTGAGACAGACAGAGAAACACACACACATACACACACAGTGGCACTGGCACATGTGGATGTAGTGGGACGAACACAAACATCATGTTCACTGGCTGAAATACGACACACGCTCAGACACAAGAAAACACACACATACCTGCTCATAGGGATTTACAGACTGATACAAATGTAAGTAATACACACATACTCACACAAAGTCATGCATTCACACATGGATAGACACACAAACACATGCGAGCTCAGGTACAGTAGACACTTCTTTATGCTTTACAGAACCACTTGACAGTATAACAAACACACACACACACACACACACACACTGTGCTGTTATCTGCTCTCTAGCCAGGAGGTACAGCGGTAACGTTAGTCAGGGGAAACCATATGGGACGGGAAGAGACAGGTGACACATCCTCAGCTCTAAGTGATAGTCAGGACTGGCTGGCTACCGAGCTCAGCCCGCCTTACCTTATACATAATAAATGTAAATTCAGAACTCGGGGCTCGAGCTGAGAGCTGTCTGACATCTTTTTTGTCTGAAATTATCTCAGGAAAGGACAGAAGCACAACAATGGCAAATAAGGTGCATTGTTTTAGTCCCTCTCATTCCTGTCATTTACATCTTTAGTGGTCAGTGTCCTTTACTGAAAAGCAAAGATCCTGATAAATATATCTTGGCTCTTGTGAACACATCTGATTTAATGATTTAGAATTGGCATATTCTGGCATCCGTGGTGGAAAATACTCATGTGGAAGACAGCTCAATTTTAAAATTGAAGCACAGTGTTGAGAAAGTGACTTGTTCCCTGCGCTTTGGGAGCTTATTCGTGCTGCACAATTTACAGGTGGGTGCATTATGACAGTGCTGGCATCAAAGCAGAGTTTGGGAGGATTCATTACAGGCTGATGTGGTAAACTAGCTTCAGTGTATCATATCTTCTCATTTATTTACATTATTTTAAAGTAATACAGGTAAGAATCAGATTTTCTGAAAAGAAGACACTCTGATTTTTCTTATATCTTCAAAGACTTTTCTAACCTTCTGGTGGCAAAAATGCTCCATCAGCTGTGTGACAAATATGATCATAATGTGTGTCTCAAGTTGTGCCTTTTTTCCCAATCCAAACAAAGATGGAAGCCAGAAATTGCACACCCTTTTTGCTCACTTTGTACAGAGGGAACCAAAATTATAAAATGTATTGATAGTTTTCTTGCTTCATTGGCTTATAGATGTTTCATTCCAATATTTTATATTTTTGTTTGAAGTTACATTTTACAAAAAGAGCCAGGACATATGGTAGTTGTGGCTACCTGGATGAAGAAACAGTCCAGATGGTTAAAAAAAGACTTCTAGAAATTCTTGAAATACCTTCAGAACAGTGGTAGGTGTGGTGAAATGACAAAGACTGCTAGGTGTTTAAGTTTTATACATTAGATGGTAATACATTAGAGCAGTGGCTCTCAAATGGTGTGCCGCGACACACTGGTGTGCCGTGATGCCAGTCCAGGTATGCCGTAGAATTTTATGATAACCATACATTACTATTGTGATATTCAACTGGGCCTATACAACAAGTTATGAATTAGTTTTTTAACTGATTGTATCAGTATGTTGTGAGCACCCATTTCCCAATACAGAGGCAACTCTAGATAATAAAATGTGATTTAATTCAATTTAATTTTATTTCATTTTGTTCTATTTCATTTTATTTTATTTTATTTCACTTCATTTCATTTTATTTTATGAAAAAAACTTTTAGGGAAACGTACAGTATTTGTCGCCATTGGCACGTAGTAATTCTAAATGTGTGACACATCAAAAGCCCTGATTGGCAGCCAGTGTGAGGGATGATAAAATTTAAAAGGAGAAAGCCGTGAGTGGGACAATGGAGTGCTTTATTGTGCAGAGCAAATTACAACAAAGCACCAGCAAAAAATGACCTCCCACTGAAAGAAAAGTGAAAAAAAAAAAAAACCCTGTAAAACAGTATCACGAAAGCTACCTGTCTTATTTTTTCTTATCTTTATTGACTTAAATCATGATAAGAATGATAACATACGATAAAGAAGCTATGTGTACAGATATTAAATACAGGAGTGCCTTGAGATTTTGGCTTGCCCTTTGCCTTGGGCAAAAAAGTTTGAAAACCACTGCATTAGGGGCTAAAGGCATAGTATTTGTTTCAACATTGGGGGAATGCATATGAAATGGCGGGATTTGGACACTTAATTTCCTGCATTCTGGTGATTTTTATGCTCCAATTTGTGCATTTTTTTGCAGTAATTTATGGTGTGTATGTCTTTCATTTCGGCAAAAAAAAAAAAACAAGTCATCTGCTACTTATGTGTTTTTATTCGAGGGGGATGAGGCTCAAACTGGGGCTCATCTCCAACATTAAGGTAGAAATTTCCTATTAACAAATAATAAAAGGAATCTGTCTTCTTGAGGGTTCACTTTTCAAATGAATTTGATAACTAGTTTGATTGAAAATATGTGGAACATATTGGAGTGTGCAGATATCTGTAATGCTTTGGGCAATAATCAGTGTCCACCTGCAGTTTTACATTCTTGGACGGACTCCAGCATCGAACCTGAACATTTTCCATGTGTTGCACCGATTTAGCCTAATTTCTCCCTCCCAGTAACGGTCTGTGAGACTGCTGTCCAGCCCTGGAGCTGGTATAAAGCGCAGCCCATCTGGTGTATTGGATACTTCCCTTCCCAGAGCTATATTCGTCTAATGGCTCCCTATGGAAACAGCTTTTGTTCTTAGACAGGCTAATGGATGGCCAAGGTTACTGGAGTCATTGTTGTTAAGGTGAGGTTGTTGTGGTGATTGAACACCGAGCCAACAGTCTTAAAGACCAGAGAGTATCATGAGGAGAAGGCAAGGGTCTCTTTAAAATACCCTCAAGCGGTTGTATAGACTTTTTAGCTCAGTGTTTTTCTCCTTCTCTCTGTCTCTCTCTCTCACACACACACACACACACACACACACACACACACACACATACACACACACGCATATGCTTGCAAAATTGAACCAATGATGAGAGCAATGAGCCATAGCCGAAGCTAGAGAGGGTTTTGGGAGGCTCGGAGAGTGAATGGGATTTTCGAAACCGGAGCCTAAGTTAGGTCACAGCAACCTTGTGGTTGAAAATAAGCACGCTAACAGCTCTACGTTGCCGCTAAACTCACCCAGAGAGGAAAAGAGGCTGATCTAACCTCCACCTCTCACACTGTGTGTCCCTTAATGTCTGCTTCTTACTCTCCTCTCTCGTTCTCCTGCGTCATCCCTCCTTCTCTCTGCCCTTCTTTTTCAGCCTCCTTTTCCGCCTCCCCCCGTCTGCCAGATTGCATGGCATTATGGCGCCGCTAAAACGGCTTGTACTCCATTTTCTCTCTTTGCATTTCTTCAGAGCTACTTTCCTCTCCAAGCTTTCCGAAATGACTTCCATCTAAAGCTCAGTAAGGCCTGTGGGATGGATGACGAGAGTCAGACAGAGATGGAGAGCAGGAGACTGATGGATTTGCTCCATTATCAGTCGGGTTTTGCTCTTTTGTGGCACGCCGTGCCTCTGGGTCTTCATCCCTCCATCGCTCCATCCCTCCCCGTGCGTCTTTTCCCCTTCTGAACTCATAATGAGAGAATTATACCGGCCGCGGCACACTGTCTCCCTCCCACACAATACCAACAATAGAGGCTATCATGAGAGGAGGGAAGGAAGCGTCCTTTGCACGCCATCAACGAACACAAGGAGTCATTTAGTGTGTGCAGGAGTGTCTGTGTTTTCATTACCTGTGTATTTTATTCTGGCAGTGTGCCGTGAAAAGAGCATCAGTCAGAAGCTGATGAGGAACTGTTTTCTTTTCCAAAGAAATGAGGTTCTGGCTGTTGTATGTTATCAGGATCGAGTTCTGTGTGTAATAAGCAGGTTAGTTAAAACTCATATAGAGAAAAAATGAGGACTTTGGGAATGCTAAGAACTAAAGGAGAGGTTTCTGGGTCTATGGATGGCAAGGACAGTCGGTTGGAGGGTCCAGTTGGGTTTGGTCCAGACTGAAATATTTTAGCAACTGTTAAATGGATTGCAGTGAAATTTGATACAGATATTTGAGGGCATCTGGTAATTACTGTTTTTGTTTTGTTTTTTTAACCAGAAAAATCAGTCATTTTTAATTACTCCAGTCAAAATGGAGGAAAAATAATTCCCTCTGAGAATATGGGGGCCATGTCCTAACAGCAAGCAAGTGTCCAACCTTTGTGTCCCGTAGCATGACTGTGAACATGATTAGCATTACACTTGCTAAACATCAACATGTTAGAACTGCCATCGTGAACATGTTAGCATGCTAACATTAGACGCTCAAAACACTGCAGTTTATTACAGCCTCACAAGGACGGTAATATGGCTGTAGACTTCAGCTGTATCTTTTGGTTGTGGTACCGAACATGCTACCTTATGTTTGATACTTACATTTTAGAGTTAAGGCTCGTTTACATTCTCTTTATGTACAAAAATAGATATGTTCATTTCAAATGTCATGACTGTCTCTGCCCACGTTCTTCGTTGTGTCCTTTATGTTGGCAAAATACATCCAGTAGATGGCACCAGAGGGCCGAATCAAAGGTTTCTGACAATAGAAAGAAAAAAAGACGAAAGTGGAGGAGGGCAGTGTTGTGGATAGCAAACGTTTGTGAGGCCATCGAATACATTGCAACAAGTGGACAGAGAATTCTTTTCACTGTATTACCCATTTGTTTGGTTGCACCATTCGAAAAATGTCTAGCTATGAGTGGGTCCAAAAAATCAGGCCGGACCTTACATGAGCCTGTATGGTTCCTGTCCAAGCTTTTTCCCAAGCTTGACCCATGGCAGCAGTTTGGGCCCAAGCCTGATTAAAAGCCCAAATTACTAAAACATTTATTACAACCTAAGGGGCTGGCGCGTTCCCTTGCACCACTCTCCTTCTCTACTGTCTTCTGTTACTTCAGTAGTCTATTGTCTTGTGCATGACAGGTTCAGCAGAGCAGGCTGCGCCACTCGGTGTGCCTAGTGCGCACGGAGGTCAATGGTGATGAGGCACGCAGATGATGATCCCCGCTTTTTGCTGCACGTTAGGCACATCTCTCCCACGGCTGCTAGGCAGAAGCAAACACTGCCAAACAAGTTGCCTACCCCCTTGTCTTTCTCTCGTTTTCCGTCCCTCTCCTACGCACTCCATCTCTCTCCCCCTCTTCTCCTCTATATTGCTTTGTTGTTCAGTCACTTTTTCCTTCTTCCTCTTAGTCATCCTCTCTTTCTTTCTCTTTCCCTCTTGATTCAGTCTAGTAAAACCCCTGCCATTTCAGCATGAGAACTTACAGTGACATAAAAAAAAAAAAAGGTAAATATGGCGATACCGACCTGATTCACAGCCTGGTCGGGTCGGGTCAGGCTCAATCGGGCTCCGGTAAAGAATCAGAGCTCTACTATGGTAGTATCTCACTTCAACTACACTTTACTGCCCCTACAGTCTCCAATGGTACTGCTTCATTTTGTCCATATTCATTAGCTTTCAGAAAATGTGCCCAAACATGGATGAAATGAACGCAGAGCAGGGACAGAAGGCTCCATCTGTGTCCAGATATGTATTAACATAAATGAGCCATTGAAAGATTAATATGCCTTTTATATATGCTGGTTTCACAAGGGCAACACAAGCCCTTTACACACATGAAACAGTTTCACTGCAGTTCCATGCTCGAGACACTACTCACATTGGCACAGTTGAAGTTCTGTGAGAGTCACTGAAGTTCAGCTCGTGTTCATATACAACGCAACTTTAAATACTTTAACTCTGATTCGTGCTATTTGGCTGAAGCTATTTAACATTTTTCTTGTCAGACACTCTGGGGTATCCCTGCTGAGAAACTCACTGCTGTGCCGCTGTCTGATGGGAGCTTTCAGGTCGTTGATTACTAGGTGTCATACCTGTGGCGTCGCAGCAGCAGGAGGGATATACTCTTCGCACAGCAGCTGACACCGTTGAGCTATGATAAAGTTTTGTTTGCTAACAAAGACGAGACAGACATAATTGTGATTACTTGTTGACTTGTGTGTAGTTGTATGATCTGATTGAGGTTCTGAATAACTTCGCAACTTGCGTGTTGTGTGAACTCCTAATAAATGCTGTCTCCTCTGCCGAATTAGGGCGTCGCTATCCAGAAACACTTCACACATCAGTTTACACCAGAAGAAGGGAAAGCTGATATACACAGAGTTTTAAAAGGCCTGATTAGAGACCGCTCCAAACACACATACACACTGCTAACACGCCAGTGATGATAGGGCAGCGTGAAGCAGAAAGATAAGTCACCTTCATCTTTTTCTTCTTAATGACTCAGCTGCAATGGAGCTAAATGTTATTTAAGAGTTTTGGTCCAACAAACTCATTGTGTTTACTGCCCCTTTCATGGATTTAGCCCTTCATCATCATCCATCTCTCCACCTCTCTCCCCCTCCTACTTTACTCTCCTTTCTTTATTATCTGTCTCTTGTTCTTTTTTTATCAATCAGTCTCTCCTTTTATCCTCCGTCTTTCATCTTTCTGCTCCCTTCTTCTCTCTTTTGTCAATCTTCTCCCAATCATTTTCCATTCTTAGACAAGGCTGGGAGAGGGTGGTGTTGCTCCTGATGATGAGTTGCAGGGCAGACCCTCCCTCCTCCCACCGCAGTTTGACAACAACAGTGAATCACAAATTTGTCTTTACACCACTTCCCAGATGAAACAAAGGCCAACACTTCTCAGATGTGTTTTATCCGTGGAGGAGAAAATGAGGGACTTTCCATCACAAACACCCTCTTGACCAAATCTGCATGTACTTGTGCATCCATCCATCCATGCATGCGCGTACAAACACCACCTAAGCACCGAGCATAAATGAAATGCAGTGTGAATGAAGTGAATCGCAGTTTGCCGATGTTGAGAAGTAGCACCTCTCATCTACAACTCTGTTTTACATATACATTTGATAGATACACAGTATGTGCATATATTCCAAATGAGCAATTCTCTTTGATCAGCAAAAAGCTGAGCCTATCATTTCCACACGCAGTCACTGCAAACTTCTCACTATTTTAATTATGCAAATGAGGCTAGATATAATGTCTATTGTAACTTTTCTCTTTCTCATTCTTTTCCGCTCTCTGTCCTTCACACTGTTTTTGTTTTATCGAAAGAGCTGGACTTTATTTAAGAGATACTGTGGGTAAATGTGTCTGCTGCTTTTTTTTTATTTAGTTGACTCTACTGCATATGCTTGTCTTCATGCATAGTACAGTACCTTTAAGCTGTTTGTGTACTCCGAGAGAAAGAGAATGATAGAGGCGTCCAATTAATAGCGGTTACATAAACCATCTTTCGCTTCCCTGCGCCTCCCAAAGCCTTTAATATGCACCATATGAAACCACATAAATCAGCCACTCAATGAATAATTGAGACGTCCTCGTTGACACTCTTTCAGATGTGTGCACCGCTGCCTGCAACGGACTCACGTCCCCCAGAGAAATGCAATGTGGGCAATGTTTTAGCACCCTTAATTTCTATATTAGCTATTGCGTATGGCCGGGTTAGCCTGGGAGACTTGTGGCCGCTGAGGCAGTAAGATTTTACTTCCAGACCTGCTCAGTGTGAGCTGCTCTGATTAGCCAGAGGCTCAGACCGCATGGTGATGGGCTGCTTTAGCTATGCAGATGAGATAATACATCCATATGTATTAATGTGAACTTAGTGTGTGCAGTTAGCTGTGTGCCGGTGTTGCATTCAAAGACAGATAGATGTTCTGTTTTTTAATGTAATACTGATGATCTTATGTGCATTTTCTCTATATGTGCGTGTTGCCACGCACATACAGGAATCCGAGTGTGTGCGGACGCGCATGCGGGTGATTATGGTTATGATAATGGCTGGTTGGCGACAGAGGGAGATAACTATTATGTTGATGATGGTAATGATGAATGTTTTACAATGATGATGATGATAATTACAATCGTTGTCTTGGTGTTACATCCATCAGTCATAGATTAAACACCCTCGGGAAGACACAGAGGCTGCTTTTACTGCTGCAGCATGGGTAGCGCATCAACTACAACATCAGTGTGATTTACATTACATTTCCATTTTAGGCACTTAAGTCAGTGCTCTTATCCAGAGTGATTCACAATGGGGAGGTTGTGGTTCAGTATCTCGTTCAATGGCACTTAAACAAGATGCATAACTGTTGATAGGCATGTGTTGGCAAAGGGCTCCAAACTGTGACCTTGTGGCTAACGGGGGAGGATATAATAAAGCCTGTAATGCTATACAGTACAATATACCTGCAGTAAATACCTCTTTGAGCCTAAATGATACTCAATTTTTGAGGCCTTTATGAATATTCACACTTAATAAAAACATAAAAATAAAATAAAAAGCACCCTCTATTACTGTAACAAACTTGTATGTCAACATACCCAATTCTGGAGTTATATCAAGGAAATTTTGTTTTAATGAGATACATTAATTTTTGTAAAACCATGAGAATGTTACACAGTGTAACAAGATAAAGTGATATGTTGTTTTAACAATGAAAGTCCTTATAAAAAATATTTATTTCTGAGAAAATTAAATGTCAGTTTAAGTTGTTTTCAGTGATAATGTTTAGTTAAAATACAACAATTGTAAACTTAATCTAAAAATGCAGAGAATGAAACATTTTGCACTTTAAATCACAAGTTTCATTTATGGTATTATTACTATTATTCGTTCATTCATTTTCTGTAACCACTTATCTTGGTACAGGGTTGCAGGTGTGCTGGAGCCTATCCCAGCTGTCACTGGGTAAGAGGCTGGGTACACCCTGGACAGGTTGCCAGACTATCACAGGGCTGACACATTAAGACAGACAACTACAGGCAATTAAGCATAACCAGTTAACCGTACATGCATGTCTTTGCATGTGTGAGGGAGCCAGAGAAAACCCACGCTGACATGGGGAGAACGTGTAAACTCCATACAGAAGGGTCCTGGCTGGCTGGTGGATTTGAAACTTCTTGCTGTGAGGCAACAGTGCTAACCACTGCGTCACTGTGTCACCCTTTTTCTATCATTATTATTATTATTTAATTATCTATTAAATTGATTCCACTAAACAAACGTGACACATGGGCGTAACAACAAGAGCATTTACACATTTTTATACACCTTTGCACCTAACCTTACCAGTATCAGTCTTGTAAAGCCAGAAGGAGTATTTCCTCTCTGACAGCCGCGATGGATCAAAACCTGTCTGTCTGTGCTTGTCAGAGGTGCAGTCGTGTCAGCAGGAGAGCTGCTGGTGCTTTACATGCCTCCCATCAGCAGCAGAGCTGCTAGGAACGTTTGGGGCAGTTGACTGCTGTCCATCTTTGGTTTTTGGGAGCAGGCTGTTCTTGCACATTATGTAACAAGTTGTCGTCGAAGTCACGTTCACTTCGCCTGTCTCTCTCTGCTCCATTCGGTGTGTGTGGACGGGCAAAGCCATGAGTGGAACTACCATGACCATAAATGACAGCAAAATGACATTAGTGCATATGAATTGCCTTTTAGAACAGTGCTGCACAGAGGCCCCCAAATCATGAAGGAATGGATGTTTGGCGTTATTTCTAGCTTTTTTTTTTGTCTGCCGGGGGTTCCTGTACAATGCTGCTGCAACACCAAGCCCACTGTATATTGGCCTGTTGGGCTCTCTGTTTAATTCACATTGACACTGTGTCAGAAAGGTGCTAATAAAACTCTGTGACCATTAGGGGGTATCTGTTCACATTTGAACAGATGCAGTACCAGTTTCAGTACCTGGAATTCAGCACAGGTACACAAAGGTAGTTTTTTCTGGTAGTTTACTGTCTCTGTAAAAACAAAGATTTAAATTTTGAACAAGCTGCAGGGGTGACGTAGTCAACTAGAGAGCAGTTATGCTCCTCTGCTCTTTACTAATCACACAAACAGCCAGTCTTCTGTTTCTGTCTGTCTGTCTGTCTGTCTGTCTGTCTGCTTGTGTGTGTTTGCTCATCTAGCCATGATACTAGGCCATTATTGATATGATAGAAATTAGACCAGACGACAAACTGTTGAGGCAGATTGGCACTGCAGTGATGGTTTGGGCTCGCTGGTAAGTCAACAGAGTGGCTGTGAAGCTCAATGGATGGTTTGCCGGGTTTAGGGGCGCTTCTGCCTCCTGTCGGAAGTTGAGCCCGGTGGCTCTGCAGAGCTCTGTTACCAGCCCCAGAACTCCCTGGCTGGCTTCCAGGCCTCCCAGGAACTCTGCAGCACTGATGGATTTAACATTAATCTGTACTTAACGTGAGTTGATACCCAAATTACCTTGAGCACCATCCAATACTGTCAGTACATAATTTGGTAATTTGTAATTCGACGTAATTTATCGAGCTACTTCAGTAGTAATGACATAATTTCATTGGTACCCTTAAAGTTCCAGAGTTCAGAACCCAATTCTGTGGTTATTTGTAATACTGTTTTTGGTGTCTGGACAAGATATTACATAGACGTTACAATTCTCTGCTGTCCAGTACAAAACACCACACATACCAACACATTCTTACCCCGACCTCGTCACATATTGACATGCTTGGTCATGGACTTTCCACATCCACATATGACATGCAGCGTACCCTGAGTGTGTTGGTTGTTGACGTTCTGGGACACCGTGTCAAGTTCTTCTTTCAAAATACTCTTCCATTTTCACAGGAATTTTTTTTTTCCCCTCAACAACTAACACACATGGTTGGGTTTAGGCAACAAAAACACGGCTAGGTTTAGGCAACAAAAGGAACTGGTTGCTTTAGGAAAAAATAACAGGGTTTGGCTTTAGAGTCTTACGGGACGCGAACACCGCTCTCTCGGGTGAAAGTCAATATTTGTTGGACCCAACCACCACCACTCCCATCCGCCCCACTCTGACTTTTGCCACCTTAACTTTCATCCTTGTCCTGCTGTGTTTCCCCCTGACGCTGCCAGGTGCTGGTATCATGCCAACATTAAAGGACACCTTTTTTCGTTAGTTTCTGACGCCGCATGTCACTGCCCAAGCGTTGGACGACTTCGGAGTGAGACTGTGCTCCAAATACAGCTTCTAAAAAAGTCACAACTAAATTCCCACATTTTAAGTCTCACATGACTATGTTATTGGTTTCA